ACATACTTCAATCTTACTAATCAGTACCTGAGTATCGTGATGGTCACGTATCTGATCAAAGTGACGTCACAGTTCTTCAGCGTCGTCAGGTTCCTTCATGAAATGATATTAAATGAAATGTAAAGATATAAATCCTCTGTGGTTGAATCCTCTGACCTGATTGGTGGTTTGTGTCTCAGACGAGCAGCGACAGATGTCGGAGGAGGAGGACGGCCCGGTGGAGATGACAGCGGCTCGAGTGGACAGAGACGTGGTGAGTCGTCTCTGTTGTTCTTTTGAAACATCGTGTTCTGAGCTGAGATTAAATCTGAGGTCGTCGGGTTCATGGGACAAAAGATGACGAAGGATTAAAGCTGATTGAGGAACGTCGTCGTGTTCAGAAATAATCTGAGTTCAGAAGCTTTGAATAAAAATCAGCTCAATAAAGAACAGAGCTCGTCTGTTTGTTCACGTGTCATCGTGAACGTCTCGAATCATCAGAGCCAATTAGAAACCAGCTTTTATTCTTCACAGCAAATCCTCAACCACATCCTGGACGACATCGAAGTCTTCGTCACCAAACTTCAGAAAGCGGCCGAAGCGTTTAACGATCTGTCGAAGAGGAAGAGGACGAAGAAGAGTAAAAAGAAAGGTCCGGGAGGTGAGAGCGTCCGAAACAGGAAGTCAGAGTGTGAACCAATCACTGAGCTTCTTCTTTAACATGTTATTATCATGTTGTTTACATCTGCTCTCATAAACTGAGGGAACCAGAATATATGTAGATCTCTGTGATGAAGAGTTAGAACTGTATTTTATTACTTATTTACAGATCATATTGTAGTTTCACTCTTCTCTCTTTCACCTTGTGTCCACCAGAGGGCGTCCTGACTCTGCGCTCCAAAGCCCCCGGAGAGGAGGAGTTTGTCGAATGTTTTCAGAAGTTTAAACACGCCTTCAACCAGCTGGTGAGAGACCCCTCCTCCTCTCTCTCTCCTCCTCCTCCTCCTCCTCCTCCTCCCCAGAGGAGTGGTGTGATGATGCGTTCACTGACCTCATGTTCTGTTGTGCAGGGGAAGCTGAAGGATCACATCCAGAACCCGAGCTCCACAGACCTGGTTCACTTCCTCTTCACTCCGCTCAGGATGGTCAGACTTGTTCATCTGTGGTCATGTTTTATTACACATACATGTACACGTACACATACATGTACACATACATGTACACATACACATACATGTACACATACACATACATGTACACATACACATACATGTACACATACACATACATGTACACATACACATGCAGCAAAGGGCAGCGATATGACGTAAAACCACGAGGACCAATCAGAAGCCTGAAACAAGTTGTTTGTATATTAGAGACTTGAATTGTCTCTGGATG